TTTTCCAGGAATGGTCTGATCCTGTAGGCTTCCAGCAGCCTGATGCCAGTGATACTCCCAGTAATTTCAGACCCCCAGGGATGCAGAACCAGCTCCAAGGTGTGATTTCCCCTCCGTGGCCAGAGGGCTGGACGGAACTGGAAAACCCGTGCTTGCAATTGCACAACGTGGCAAGTTTGTTCCAGACCTGCCCACTGCAGGTCTGAAACAGGCTCCTTCCCTGAGATGCTTTAACCAGGGACCTGCACTTCGATTTTGGTTGGACTGACTTACTTCAGGCTGAGTTCCTTTTTTCTCTTCTGTTTTCTGTTGTTCTGGCTTTACTTAAAATCAGGTGTAGGGAATTTATTTTTCCTGAAATGCTTATCAAGTATTCTTAAAGGTGTCAGTATTTGTATCTGCAAAAAAATGAAACTTCAGGGTGTTCTACTGTTTCACTCAGTACAGGTGAGGTCAACAACTTATGCTGTCAAGGCATAGCATGCTTTGATATTTTCAAAGGAAATAAAATGAAACTGAGGTCTTAACTGAAATTTGTCTCAAAGTTTCTGTTAATATCTGTGTAATTCTGTATATTTCACCTGTTCACAGGCTCTAGCAAACGTCACTACAAATTACAAAAAACAAACAAACAAAAAATCATCTTCCATTTCTAGTTTCTATAATAAAATGAAGACGCTGCATTCAGTTCCTTTAGGTGCATCAGTCTTTGATCCATGTTATTGTTTCAGTGACATTTCTATAAATGTAATTGGGATCAAATGTATATTTTACTTTTGTACAAAAGTAAAAATGATATTTTTATGACTAAATTCAGCAAACCCTTACCTATAACCTGCTAAGATGAAACCTTTCTTTTTTTTTTTTCCCATTCCTTTACATGTAAAACATTGGTTTTTGCAGTATGTCGGTTTGAAATGAATAAATAACAGCTGTCAATAGAACTGTAAATGGCCTCTCAGACATACCTCTGACTTTAAAGATCAAATATTGCCGATGTGAAATATACAAACTGAATAGTCTCCATATGAAAGTGCACCATCAGGGCAACAAACCATTTAAGCTGACACAGCTGTACTTATTTCCACCATTTACAAATCGCATATACTTTGGTCAAGTATGTACTTCATTGTCACATTACAGCTCATTTTACTTCCAGTAGTGAAATTGTTTGACTTACCATTTTTAGAACATCTGATGTTATGAGTTCTTGAACTATTTGAAATGCATAGTTTTCATCTATGCAGTTTTACCTGCTTCTGTACTCGTTCATCTGTTCATACTTGGCATCAATTAAAGATAATTTTTAAGGATCTTACCCAGGTTTATTCTGTCTGGTTATTTTCTGGAGTCTGGTTTCTCTGCTGTCACTATTGGCCAGTTCCATCTGAAATGAATGGTGGGTTTATTGATGGTTTTCTTACTGAATGGCATGAGAAGTGACAATGTAGCGAGCGGGAAACGTGGCTGTGGGCTTTGAGAGGCTTGTAAATGTCAACTCAAGCTTTACAGTGCAATTAACCAAAAGGTTTGGCTTCCACAGGCTTTGGATCTAGCCTTCAGGGAGAGTAATGTTCTGGGGCCAAGCTCTGCTGCCTTCACTGCTGAGACATCACCCAGTTCCACCAAAAAAAAGTGCAAATAAGATTAAGCCTCTTAACTGTGTGAGCGCTGTGTTTCAACCACCTGTGAGAGTTGATCACGTGTTTTGGGTTGGGTTGAACGTCAGCAAATCTTGTTCTCTTTGGAAAGTTGGTTTCTCAAGCTGTGTTTTGTGCAGACTGGTGTGATACCTCCACGTGTGCCGTGTCTCAGTGTTGTGTCCCGTGCAGAGGGGGGCAGTGACTCGAGTGCTGATTGTTTTCTGCCCAAGCTGTTGTGTGCTGGGAGTCCGTCTGCAATGGCCTTTCTGTGGGTAGGTGCAGTTTGTAACAGTGGGATGAGTGCTGATTCACACGTGGGTGAAATGGAGTGAAAATACCCTGGCCTCTGCACGAGGCAGGACATTTCATGTGGCCTGTCGTGTGATTTAATTTACTTGCTTGTTTTGCTTTCTTGGTCGAGCGAAATCCTCATTCATCAATAGCTTCAAGTATTTAGTTGGTGTGACTGGATATCATTTACAGATTGTCAAAGATTGTTCTGTTGAGCTGTCAGTGGGGATTTGCAGTTTTCAAAATGGGTGACATTTGACTGACAAGACATTTGTCTGTTAGCTGCTCTGTGCTGGTGGTCTTAATCCAACGAGGTGCTCGTGTCCACGCCTCACTTGTAGGGTGTGATCACTGTCACTGAGTTTGGTTGGCTCGAGGTGTGTCCAAAGTCTCGCTGCTTCATCCTTTTCTCTTTCTTGTGCAGAGGAAAAGCTTGTTAATCATCTCTGTGGTGGGAATCTTCTCCCGTTTGTTCAAGCTCCTGGTGTGTTGTTTAGATCAGACTGTAATGTTGCTGAAAACGTGTTTCCCTGGGTCTCCAATTCACCTGCTGTATAACCTATCCCTATATCCCCCTACTAGTTTTTTCCCATTGTGGCCACACTTCATCTTGTGAAATTCTGACCCCAGAGCCTTCACTGCTGGGTCCCTGCACGGTCTGTCTCACCATACATGGATCTCTATCAAATGTTCCTTTTCCTTAGGGCTGGAAATACAATTCTTGTATCACAATCAGGTGGGCTTTTTCGTGTGTTAGTGGGTTTTTTTGGTGGTTATTTGATTGGTTTTGTTGTTGTTGTTGTTGTTGTTTGGTTTTGGTTGTTTTTTTTGTTTTTTGAAGAAAGACCTTGCCTATTTTCATCTGTGCTGCCTCCTCAGTGTGGAAAGTGCTCCCACTAGGTCCTTTTGGCCATGATGCTGATAAGATGGCATCTCATCCTGTGTCATTCATCATCTTTCCCGCAGTCTGTGCAGTCACTGCTTGCTGGGGTGGGGTCACTTTTGCTAGGGGGAGGTTTTCAGGCAAAACTTGGTGCATTCAGGCCCAGGTCCTAGGATATGGGTTTTGCCCTCTAAAATTACTCCATTAAAAAAAAAAAATATATATATATATATATATATATATATATATATATATATAAAATCAGGGTTGTATATTGGGTTGGTTGAGTCTCTGAGTTAATTCCTTACTTAATCTCAGAAGCAAATGTGTGTGGGTTTTTTCCCCCAAAATGCAAATCCTCCTATGCTATCTTTTATATTTCATCAATCACAAAAACATTTTGCACATTGAGTCCTCTCTTTGGTTACACCAGGCCACCTCTTTATCTTGTAGGTTGTCTCTGAAGCATCCAATACAGAGGCAAAAGCTGTGGCTCTGCAGGGATAGCTTAGATAACAGACCTGATGATCCATAAAAAAGGCTCTTCTTTCTTCTCCAGCTGCACTTGGGTTATAAGGGGAGCAGGAATTCAGCACACTTTCAACACAGAGAGGGGACAGCCCATTCAGTAACAAGGTGCTATTTTTATGTGTTACCTTCTTGGTACATTATAGATGATTTCAACCTAAATTTGATTTACCTAAAAGTTAAGTCCTGGTGTCAAGTCATTGAGGTGTTTCCACCTCAGTGAATGAGAATCCTGATACTCCAAAGCATGAAATGAGTCCTACCTCTGCAAGCAAAAATAAACACTTGCATAGGTGCACTCCCAGCCACTGGTAAAGTTTCATCCATCCTCCAAAGCATCTGGAGGAGGTGCCTTCAGGGCTCACAGTTTAAGTCAGATGGTCTGACTGCCAGAGAAAATCAGAGCATCTGATTTAGTGCTGTCCCTGAGAGCAGCTGCCACGAACTGCCCCAGCCAAACCCTGGAAATGTGTGCTCCTGGAGGAAGCCAGAGCCCACAGAAGTGAGTAGGATTGTCTCTTTTACCCTCAGAAGTCTGTAGAGAAACCACGATTTGATGGTCCTTTTCAGTCTGCTGAGAAAAGAAGAAGAGAAACATTCTGTACTCGGGGCTTCTCACGGGTACTTTCAGAGTTGCACTGTATCCCATGGCTGGCCTTGCCATAAAAAATGCTCACTTTCACAGAGTGTTGAGATTCAGCGCTGGAAAATCAAAGAAGCTTTAATTAGCACAACAATACTTCAATCCACTCGGCTTCTCTGAGAGCTTCCTAAAATACCTCACACTTTATTCCAACGAGAAGACAATTATGACTCCTGAATAGAAACCCTTCTGCAGCTAGAAGATGAAAATGTAATTGTAGATGGTATATTTGGTGGCCTCCTCTCACTAGGTAGGAGCAGTGGCACTTTTGGCTTTGGAGGAGCAGGGGAGCACTGACTGTGTGTGTGTGTGAGAGAGAGAGAGAGAGAGAGAGAGAGAGAGCTGCATGAAAACGGCTGGTTGGGTCACCATTCCCACCCTGCCTGGCCAGCAGCAGAGTGTGGGGGGTGTGTAGCTCACCCACATCCAGTGTCCCTGCTGTGGGGAAATCCAGGGGCAGAGGGAAGTGGCTTTGGAGCCCCACAGTGCCCTGGACTGCCACCATCCATACAGCCCACAGTCACTGCAGGGGATCCCAGCATCTCTGGGGTGCACAAACGATGGGAGGGCTTGGCAGTCCCAAGGCATTGCATTTGTGGGGAGTTTCCTTCGGCATTTCAGTCCCTGGTGTAAGAAATACCTCCCCTTTCTCACCTTGGTAGGTACAGGCACGTTCAGCAGGGAAAGAAGTGGCTGAGCCCACAGTTACACCCCGGGGTGGTGCCCACATCCACATCCACGGAGCCACATCCTGCTTCTGCAGCAGAGCTGTTTCTGTTTGGCAAGGAATACATCAAGCTCAATATAAGGCTGAACTTTGGTATGAATAATTCAGTGGTGAGCAAGGAAGAAAAAGAAAAAAAAAGCAGCCATCCAAACCCCTAGCTTTCCAGACAAGCCATGGAAAGATTCTCCAGGTACTTTTCCATGAATTCTGAGAACACAATATAGACTTAAACTATTTTTCAGGTTGGGAAAAAAAAAAAATAATTTACTGAATGTTTAGCTCGTTGCTGCCTAGCCATTCTGAACACAAATCTACATACAAAGTTCTGCACTACATTCTGAATGATTTCCAGATTCTTGTGGCATTTTGTTCCTCACACATTGTGGATTGATGGTGGGAGCTGACACTGCCAACAGGGTCCTGCCTTCAAGAGGAATCACTCAGGCAATGGTAGGTGTTTAGATGTGTCTTCCTTTCTTCTTTGAGTCTTCCATTCTTTTTTCAGTGTGCACTGTTGATCTTCAGCTCAAAAAAAGAGCCAATCTCAGCTCACAAGGGAGGTACCTTTCCTTTGCTTCCTGTTCTAGTTATCCAGACATTTTTATGAACTTGGATTGCTGAACCTTGATTGTTGCCGTGGCTTTTGATACAAATAAACCACTTGCAAATATTCCTGAAATACTCATAGATACACTTCTTTCTCTCAAACCTGATAGAGACAGCTTCAGTTAGTGTCACTAAGTTTGTTTGTTTGTTTCAGTTGCAGACTTTTTTTCTGTAGGAATCAGAAAAGATAAAAGTGTAAATGAATGTTTCCAAAAATGTACTTTGGGTGGTTTCCTCCCAAAGAGGGGGAATTTTTTAATTGTCCTTTTTTTGTTTGTTTGTTTGTTTTTGTTTGGTTGTTTTTTGGATGGTTTTTTTGGCTTAGATTGAGTTAATCTTGTCATTAATTATTTGGGAAAGAATAACAAACCCACACCATTTAAAAGATCTCTGTTACTTGGGGTGCACGCCTTTGCTATGATTATTTAGATGATAAAAATGGCTGGCGTTCCAGGGGAAGAGCATTTGCTGCTAATGGGGCTTTAATGTAAACTCCTGTGATACTTAATATTTAAACCCCGAGGAGGGTGAGACAGGAGTGCTGCAGGAGCTGCTGCTGGGTGTGAACAGCGACAGTGTGGTGTTCGAGGGCAGCAGGAATGGCTCAGCAAAAGAAGGGGTTAATTTTAAGGCTCCAAATACTACATGAGAAATATTTAGTCCTCTGAGGAGAACACTGATCTGATGTAAACCTGCTTGTCCTGAACACATTTGTGCAATAAATTGATGGGCTAACCTCTTCCCGTGGACTTCCTACCACACTGGCTCCTGGCCTTTGGGCTCTTAACGTTTGGCACCTCTTTCCTTTCTGCTTTTGTGCATCCTCCTGTGTTTGTTTTGAGACAAAGAGATGTCATGAGCCAGAGCACTGCCTTGGTGTATGTGCTGTGGCCACTCTGTCAGGAACGGTGTTGTGTGAAATTCTTGCTGAGTGCTCCAGCAAGTCTCTGTGTTTGGTGTGGAGTGAAGCCACTGGTCCAGTGCTCCTGGGGTACTGCTGAATTGCTCTCCAGCCTGGCAGTAAGGGGCATCCTGTCAGTACTTGGGGCAAGGAATGCAGCAAGACCTTGGTGTCGTTATAAGCTTTGAGGCCTCCCTGATGTCTGGGCAGAACTGGGGTTCTGCTCTGGTCTGCTGTGGCTCTGTGTGTGTGTTTGCCCTGTGAATATTTCATGTGCTGTTCTCAGCCTCTGGTAGCATTCCAGTGTGCTGCTGTTGAGGAGTGTTTTGTCTCGGGAGCAGCTGCGTCTCAAAAGTGGGAAGGGAGGGCCGTGTGTCAGTCCCTTAAATCAGTGAAGGGTTTGGGGACTGCTCAGGATGTGCTGTGTTAATACAGGGTATCAATCTACGTGTCAGAGGATGCTAAACAGCAGTCGGAAACTATGGCAGTCAATACCTTCAATTATTAATTAAAGGTAGCAAATGGAAGCTGGGTATCACTGCATGGTGTGGAGCCACTATTGCTAATGCATATTCAAGGCATGCATTCTGGCTGACAGGACTGTGATGTACTTCTCCTGATCTTCAGATGTCTGTGATCTCATCCTTTTTTAGGACACTTTCAAAAAGGCTGCTGAAGTGCAGCAGCACAGAGAGCAGCTCAGTCCTGCTTCAGAGCAGGTCGGGACGTCCACACAGTCCCACATTTGGAATGGGGAGACAGGGAGCAGAGAGCTGGTCTCTTGGTTCCTGTGTTTCTCTTTGGAAATGCTCATTAAGTTCTTACTCCTAAGATTTGGGTTCCAAAAGGAGTGTGATCACAGAGAATGTATGCTTAAGATAATAAAAATAAAAATTGGAGGCAATGAAATATATACATGAACATCCTTTATTTAGCCCATGGGCCTCCAAACCGTGGAGCTGTTTTAGTGATGACTTAAATTCTCCTCTTTCACTGTGCATAGATTTGAATTTAACTTGGAACAGTTTATGAAAAACATGAGTGATAGCTGGAGAACTAATCTGATATTATCTAAGATACATGGAAAATGTCAGCTTTCATGAGGACATCTATGGAGAAAGCTAACTTGTTAATTCCTACTCTTCTCCAGAATTTTTTAACACTCCCCTGATAAAGCTGGTGTAGCAGTATCAAAAAATATGATTTACTGTAATGGAAGTGAATGTGCTCCAGGCTTTATTTACTTTTACAAAAGAACATAAAATGTCCTGTAGATTATTATTATCTGGAAGTGTAGTGGAAGAAGGTAGCTTTCTCTCACAGCAGATCTTTGCTCTGATACTTTAAATCTGCTTGTGCATCTTACTTTGTGCAGGACATCATTAAAAACATGTACCAGCATTTTTTCTACAAACATAACCACTTTGGAGGTGAATCTTCTCGAATGTAGTCTAAACTGCACTAAAACTGACACCCAGCTTCAGGACTTCTTGCAGTCCATGGTGAAACACTGATGAGCAGTGATGATGATAAAGGAATTAAACAATCTGTATCTTTTCAGAGCATCATGGCTGGTAGGGTGTGACTTGACTCCTCTACATCTCAGGGAATTTTTTTGGCTTGTTTCAGGGTGGAGGAGGATCACAGAACCACAGAATCATAGAATGGCCTGGGTTGGAAGGGATCTTAAAGGTCATCTTATTCCAACCCCCTGCCATGGGCAGGGACACCTCCCACTGTCCCAGATTGCTCAGAGCCCCATCCAACCTGGCCTGGGACACTGCCAGGGATGGGGCAGCCACAGCTTCTCTGAGAAACCTGTGCCAGGGCCTGCCCACCCTCACAGGGAAGAATTTTTTCCTAAAAGCCAAACTAAACCTATTGTCTTTCAGTTTGAAGCCATTGCCCCTCGTCCTGTCACTCCAGGCCCTCGCAGGAGGTGCCAAGGGAGGGAATGAAGCCACCAGCTCTGGAGCAGGGAGGCAGACTGAGAACCACTCAGATGCTCGAGTGGTTTAGCTGGGTTGAGTTCCAGGCAAGCCAGTGGCCCCGTGTCATTACCAGTTTGAAGTGAATGAGCACGAATCAGCCATGAGATCGTGGTACAAAAGCAGCTTATGGCAGCAGGGAGCAACCGAGGGCGTTTGTCTGTGGGTGCCCCTGCGCTTCCGAGCTGATCTTTCCGAGTGCCCTAAATTCCTGTTGAGTTCAGCACCTCTTAATATGTCACTGGGCAGGAATTACATTGATGACATGCAGAAAAGCAGTGTATGTTGCTGTTTGAGTGGTGTTTTGCAGTTAGTCCAGATGAAATTTGTGTGCTTTGCTACCCGCTCAAAGACTGTTGGTGTGAAGCACCAGGTAAAACAGAGCCCTGGATCCCAGAGTGGGACTACACTAAAAACATGGGTTAAAACAAGGGGGTTTATTTTTTTTTTTAAATATAATCTTGGTGATTAGTGTTTCAAATAAAGCCCTCTCTGATTATTACTATTCAGTAACATCTGGAGTGAAGCAGGTGTTTTATGGATAAATGGGAGAAAAGCTCTCTGACTCATTTGATTTACAACCTGTGTGAGCAGCATCTCTGAGGGAGCTGAGATTGTGACTGATAGGGAAACTGAGATAAAAAAGGGTCATGCTATTTCTCATTTATTTGAACTTTTTATTGGATGAATAGAAGACTGGTTTATTTTTTGCTGCACTCTTTCTTTCAGTGTTTCTCTAGAGTAACCTGAAGTAAAGCTCAGTAGAAGCAGTAAGATTCTAGTTGTTAATCAGCCCCTGGTTCCTTTTTGAAAATGTAAAATCACTTGGATGCCTCACTCACACTGTTTTGTCCAACTTCCTCGAGCTGGGTCCCAGACATGGAGATAAAGGTGATTTTTCCCTCATGGGTGGTACAGACAACATTTTACCCATTGCAGTGAGAGGCACACATCCCCGAGGAGACTGTGCTTGGATGTCATGGAAATATCTTAATTATTTGTGTTTGCTGCTTTTGATAATTGCTGATTACTGCTGTGTGGGATTCAGGCAAACATTGGAAAATTACATTCATCATAGCCCGAGGAGGCAGTGGAAACATCGCTGTGAGCTGATGGCAGAGTGAAACAGATGCTGCCACCCTTAAAATCCAGGCATAAATCACTCATATCTTCATTTTAGTCAATCACTGTCTATGAAAGAGAATATGGACAAAATTATAGGCTGGGACCAGCAGTCTCTGAGGAATCAGGAAAAAAAAAAAAAACAACTTAGATTCTTTTGGTTTAGAGGATTTTTTGACCTGAAATGCAATTTCCAGAGGAGCAGAAGGAGGGGGTGTATGCTTTTTCCCAGGTGCAGGAGTTTTGGTGAGAATGTAAGAGTCAGAGAAAACGAAGAAGGGGTCAGGAGTCACACAAAGCAGGTGTGCCACAGAACTTCCTTGCTTATGAGGTGGAAGAGACGTGAAACTTTGGCCTAAAGGATATTCCATCACTGCTCTGGAAATAGGGAGGTTTTCACAAACCAGCTGCTGAAGTAGAAGAGCGAGGTGCTTTCACTTTCCTCACTTTACTTACTTTCAACCATATAAAAATCTCAGCTAGAGAAAACTAGCTGGAGAGATCTTTTGAAACAAGCAAAACAATGATTTGAAGTAGCAGCTTTCTCTTTTCTCCAGAAATTTTCAGCAACATACCCAAGAGTTCTCTTGTTGGCAGAAGAAAACCTTTGGCTGCCCCAAAAGAAAAAAAAAATATCCACAAACAAAAAACTATTTTGAATTCTAGTCTTCTGGACAAATACTTTTTTTTTTTTTTTTTTTTTTTTTTTTTTTTTTTTTTTTTTTTTTTTTTTTTTTTTTTTTTTTTTGGGGGTAAAAGGGAGCTAGGAAAAAGGTTCACACATTCAGCAAACTTCATTATAGTGAGCTCCCTGATTTACTGAAGTCATTATTAAGGGGACTGTGTAGATCTGCTGAGGCAAAGGCACAGCTTCTCCAGAGGGTACCACCTCCCACAGCTCCAGTCCAGCTACATCTTTCTCTACTTGCTCTGGGGGAGGGAGCAGATCTTGCCATGTAGAGAGGATAGACCTTGCTGGAGGGTCAGAAATCCCAAAGGCTTTAGAGACTCTCTGAACATCAGCATTTTATGGACAAGCTAACTCAACTTTTATCCCCTCTTTTGGGTGAAAAGGGGCTTTGATGGATAACTTCTGGTCAGACTAAATGATTAATATTTTGATCTTTTTCAGGGTTTACATGGCTTGCAGCCATATGTTTCTAGCAATGGGAATCCCATCAGCTTAGTGATTAGGCCTGAAGAAATTCAGTGCTCCATGAACTCCTGCTTGCCCATTCATCTAAAAGTAGCTCTTGATTAATACATCTGAATGATACAAATCCAGTCCTTTGAGCATGGAAGCTTGGAGTTCCCAGTTGTCCTGGTTTTAAGTGAGATGCAAAAATCCTTAGCTATCTATCTTCCTTGCCATTCAAACATCTTCAGAAAGTGTTTAATCATTGGAATGCATGACATCCTGCATTTTCTTTTCCCCAGTGTCTTTTTACTGTGACTTTTCCCTGTAGTGACAGTTAATTGCCCACTCTGCTCTTTGGTTCTTCAAGGTATCTGTCACTTCCCTCAGCTTTTTTTACCCGGACTTGATGCAACATTTTGTGTGAGAGAGACTGGGCAGATCTCTGAAAGCAGAAAGGGGGAATAAAATTAGGGCAGAAAAAAACCCTTCGTCCTAAATAGAGCCCTTGAGGTCTTTTTGTCACGCTTGAATGGAGTTGTTCCGGGTTCCTTCTGTGCTGAGACAATCCCAGAAATCCAGGCAATAATAATTTGAGGTATCTGTGCAGCATCTCTACACAGCCCCAGCTGGAGAATCCATACTGTGTGCTATTTCAGGCACTGTGTAGACATGGACTCATGTCTGCAGAGGAGCTGTGTCTTAAATTAGTTCATTGACTTCTGGGCACTTCATTTCTGATGTGGCTGCAAAGCTGCTCTCGTAGCTCCCTGGTTGAGGGGATCTCTCTGCCCACTCACGTTTCCCTGTGTAGACGAACCCTGCAAAGGATGCAGGCAGCTTGGCCAGATCAGGCAACAGAGTTTATCCCATTTTTTTTCATTGCCTAAATATGCCAAATTGTTTTGAAATCCATGGGTCTCCTTTAGCCTTGATGTACTCAGTGAAGGATCCTTTGAAATCCAGGTATTTACACTGATGGAGTTAAGAATCCCTTATCACCTCCAGGGTGGTGTTAGTGCTCTCTGATCCCATGTGGCCCACTGCTACTGCTCATTTCTGCAATTACATTTGGATTTCAATCCACTTATTATGTCCAAATTATATTTCAAGCAGAATTTTTTGCTTCTGTTAGGTGCTTTGCTGAGAATCGCCTACACTGCATCTCCTGCCTCCTTCTGCCCATTCATTTTGTTCTTCATGTCAGAATACATAATCAAGTCTTTCTAACATGGATTTTGAGGTTTGGGGCTTTTTTTTTTTTTTTTTTCCCCCCTGAAGTAAAACAGTGCTGTAAGCCCCACTGCACATCATTCTCTTGTGGTCCTTCTGGATC